CTGATGTCTGGATGGTCTGTGTATACCCAGTGGTTGTGTACAACGTGGATATTCTGTTCTTGTTGTTCGGTTTTGGTACGTGACCCATCTGGGAAGTTTTTACACTTCCAACGCAGGGCATGCCACGAGTACCAGGACCCGTGAGTACCTGCAATGGATACTCGTAAGGCACACCATCGGGTACCTGTATCCGTGGATACAGATACTCGTTCCCACGGGTGTGCGCACGGATACAGGTCTGATGCCGGGGCTCACAGGTACTCATGGGAGAGTACCTGCCATATTCGTCATTTCTAGGCCAGAGCTTGCCGGAGGCCAGATGTTTGTCCAGCGACTCTCTCTCCTCGCTCTCCTCCTCACTCTCTCCCACTTCCCCGAGCGTACACCACTGTGTGATGGAATTGACACGTCGTGTTGCCATCAATGATGGTGCCGCTCATCCTGTGTACTTGTTTCTATAAAGATCTCATGGGTCTTTGAGTGAATGAGTTTGGAGTCCCACCCCTTTGCCATCGTAAAATCACTCGTTCTCACTCAATACCGCGTATGTTTCTGATGTAGTACCATCAATCGACATGTCTTGATCCCCTGCATTGGTCCCTGCATTTAGTTTGACGAGAAATGGCCTGCTCATCGTTGAGAACGGCGGTGTTGACCCCGGTGAGTGCCCATTACCCCTCCAACCGTAAAAATGCTCGGTCTCGCTCAAATGGGCGCGCGTTTTCGATGTAGTTGGATTGATCTACGCGTCTTAATCCCCTGCATCAGGTCCTGCATTTATTTTGACGAGAAACGGCCCCCTCGTCGTTGAGAACGGCGGTGTTGACCCTGCTGAGTCCCCATTACCCCTCTAACGGTAGAATTGCTCGTTCTCACTCAGTTTGGGGCGCGTTTCCGACGTTGCGTGGTCAATCGATGCGTTTGGATGTTTCTCATCGCCTCCTGTCCTTGGTTTGATGCGATTCGGCCCTCCTGTCGTCGAGAACGATGGTATTGACCTGGTGAGTACCCCCTGCTTCCCTCTACGTAAATTTGTTCTTTCTCACTCAATTCCGCGTATGTTTACGACATTGCGGGGTCAATCGACGCGGATTAACGTTCCGCATCGCCTCCTGCCCTTGGTTTGATGTGATTTGGCCCGCCCGTCGTCGAGAACGACGGTATTGACCTGGTGAGTACCCCTATACCCCCTTCCCCAGCTCATATTTACCACAGTACCCACGGGTACCCCTCAGGTACCTTCAAAATACCCGTAGATTATCTCTATCCATGAGTACCCGCCCATTGGCAAGTACCTGTATCCGTGGATATGGATACCCGTTCCCACGGATGCCACCCCGGATACAGGTGTGGCCTCTGAGGGCACAGGTACTTGTTCCCACGGATACAGGTACTCGCACGGATATAATCGTAGCATGCCCTGCAACAGACTCTAACAAGGAGACAATATCCTTGTCGGCCTCCTCTACCGCCTCTGAACCATGGCCCATATCTTCATCAACCTCCTTGTCGACATCCTCATCTAGCTCAGACTTGGTAGCTTCGGATTGGCAAGCCTGGCTTGGTGAAGACTGGAGGGAGATGGTATCTCAGTCAGAGCCATCTGACTCGTCATTGTCCACTTCCTCGAACACCCGGTCCACCTCACGTTCTAGCTTTAGAACAAGCAGCTCCGCTACCTCCATCTCTCTCTCTCTCCAGACGAGGACTCTGATGCAGACATGCCTGACATGGAAGTTCTGGACCCCCACTCTGACTCAGATGATGAGGACAATGTAGAGACCTTGAGAGGTTGGAGAGGGCAGTGGGAGTATTTGGGAGAAGAGGGTGATAACAAGGACAGAAGTGAAGATGAATACATGCCTGACACACTAGTTCGTATCATCCGCACTATCCACCACCTCATTGATAGCTGGTATGAGAACCACTACGAGGCTCCTCGGGATAACTACTCACGCGGCCCAGCATCTTTTCCTCACACGCTCAATGTTCTCAAAGAACGCCGACCTGACCTTTTCCACCGCAACTTGCGGGTCACACCAGCGGTCTTCGATGCTCTCGTCGAATGTATCCAGGGCGACTCCATCTTCACCAAAAACTCCCAGAATGAGCAGATTCCTATTTCCCATCAACTCGCCATCACCCTCTTCCGTTTTGGCCACAGCGGGAATGCAGCGAGTCAATCATGAGTGGCGGAATGGTCTGGGTATAGTGTCGGCATGTTTGTGCATGTAACTCGTCATGTGATGACAGCGCTCCTGCGGTGGTATGTTGTAGATGAGACCGTTTGCTTTCCTACCGACGAGGAAAAGGAGGAGGCAAAATCTTGGGTTGAGGATCATTCGTGCGCGGAGTGGCAGGATGGGTTTTGCATGGTGGACGGCACCCTTGTCCCACTATATGAGCATCCTTTTTGGTTTGGTGAGAGTTACTATGACCGCAAATCAAACTACTCTCTTAATGTCCAGGTGCGACTATTTGTCCTCTTCCCTCACTCGCTCTTGTCTTGCCTCAGCAATAGTACAAACTAAACTTTTGTGCTGCAGATTATCTCACTGCCAAATTTGCGTACCATCGACTTCGGATACGGGTTTACCGGTAGTACTCACGACTCGACAGCTTAGCTTCCCACCTGTATACCTAATGAGCATGAAGATTTGCTCGAAGGAGATGAATTCGTCTAGGGTGACTCAGCGTATCCCGTATGTCATGACCTTATATGCCACACAGTGCCTCTTATAGCTGTACTATCTTACTCACCCCTAGACAGATCCAGACATGGCTCATAGCACCGTTCAAGAGGCTCGAGTGCAATGAGCCGGACAACGAGATCTTCAATAACCATGTCTCAAGGGTCCAAATCTGATCTGAGCATGCTATCGGTTTTCTCAAGGGCCGCTTCCAATCCCTCAAGAGTCTTCGAGTCAACATCATCGACGAACGGTCACACAAGTTCGCCACATACTGGATTGCCACTTGTATTGTTGTTCACACCTTTGCTTTACGTTCTGAAATAGCCGTCCGTGACCCAAACTACGATCCCGCAAGAGACCCCTTTGTAGCTGCAGGTGTATCTTTGGACTCAGACCCAGACCATAGACCACGCATTCACCAGTGTACCCTTTGTGGTCCTCACAATTTGCCCAAAGCAAAGGTTCATCGACTTAAACTGAAGGCAGATATACTTCAGGTGCGGGAGGAGAGGAATAGAAGGAAAGAGCGGTGAGAGGCAGGAGAGGACTCGGATATGGATGATGATTAAGAATTCCTTCTATATGTTTATGCCTTAATTACACCATCAAAGTCCGACAATCATAACCACACCTTTTAGAACATTTTATAGCCTGATCAGATACAATCCAAACGACACAACTTTGGTGTACTGTGTGAAACAATTTGCACTACTTGTGTTAGCCCACATGTGGGCATTGGGCCACAGTGGCACTTCACCTTGTTTTCGAAAGACTCCCTCGGACTCCGATATCTGATATGTGAGCTTATACTGAAGACAACATGAAGACAAGTCTAAAGAGTGGAATACGGTCAAGAAGTGGTTGGTGCCTGAGCAAGCCCATGCATTGTTTGAGCATCACATGCGCTCTGGTGGGCCACGGCCCACACTTAGGCCACACAGTGTTCAGCCTTCGTTCAGACACAACACACCACTGAAACTCCATTTTTAAGGCTGTATCATAGATAATAACTCATTCTGAGTACATGTCACACAGAATCCAAGGTTTAAACTTGATTTTAAGCAAATATCTACCTGTAGCAACATTGGCGGTGAGCTTGAGTTGGCCGGAACTTGCCGAGAGTATGTTTTCACGCTTTGCGCACTTTGTCGACTTCTAGTATTGTTGCGATCCGATAGGTGCAAATCTTCGCAGCTGCTCAGGTTTTAAACTTGGGCTCCTCTCCGGCCTTTTTGGCACCAATTCTATCACAGATACATGCATGCTCAATTCTGTACTACTGAACTCCGTATCCACCTCCGACACCGCCATTCAGACCCCAAAATTGTTCTTCTCACCTCCATCCACACCTCTGAAATTGTTCTCGCCGCCTCTATACATGCTAAGATCCCCGTTATACGCAGGAAGATTGTTGTCTTGCATGAAATCCATCGCGCCAAGCATGTTGTTGTAACCACCATGGCCACCTTGAGAGGGGTACCATGGTGGAGTATGACTGAGAGAGCGAGACAACGAAGCCACCGCACCTTCCATATGCATTCTCCTCTGCCACAACCTCTTCAGCTCAATCTCAGCCCGCAAAGTCTTAGTCTATTGCTTATCCCGCTTTTAAGCCAAGGCATTCTTCGCCATATCTGTCTTGTCCTGGTGTTTTTCCCTTTTGCAGTTGACCTTTGCTTTTGCGAGTTGGTGTGCGGACTTCTGTGTAGCCTCTTCGGCAAGAACAACATCTGAGAAGTCGTTCACTTTGGGCTTCTCAGGCTTAGGCTTTGTCGGAGGGGGAGCAGTGGTAGTATTGAGGGCGGGTTTCTTAGGTGTGTTTCCACGTTTCCAGCAGGAAGGGGTAGAGTTGGGCTCAGGAGCGGTGCGTTTAACAGGGACGGTGGAGGAGACTTTGGCGGGGAACTCAGTGCCATCATCATTCTCATCTTCTTCTTCCTGTTCTTCTTCATCCTCACTGAGTCCGTCTTCTCCATCACTATTCTCCTCCACTTCCACTTCACCCGTGTTCGCTCTATCTTGTCCGAGTCCAGCCTTGATCTCCGCTTCACGCTCTCCACCGTTCATGTTCATGATGATATTGGCATCAATATCTGTTTGGCTATTACCGAGTCTGGTCGGGACGAGGTTAGGACGCTTGTCGATCAGAGCCCGGATCTTGAAGAACCATGGTGCCCTCGGTTTGACTACATCCTCTAAATCAAGGACACAAAATCAGTCTTGTAGTCACTATAGCAAAACATGAACAGCACTTACTCCATGTCCTGACGAAATCATTCTGCAGGGATTCCTCAATTTTGTCATGCCGGACAATACCAGCACCTGTCTCACCCATCTCGTCCGCCAACTCATGAGTGATATTGCACATGCTAAATACAAGAAGTCATCAGAAGCAACTGAGAAAGCCAAGATAAAGTAAACATACTGCTTCAGTTGGTTCTTTACCTTGAGACAATAAGCCGTCTTTTGGGCCTTTGTCTTTGCGAGAGCATATGAAGGTCAATACTTCGGGTGATTTTTGAAGGTGTGGTCATAGAGTATCAGATTATGCTCTGTCTTCTTCTTCCCTCCACCTTTGGAGGTGGATCTGTTAGCGCCTTTAGGAGGGAAAGACCAGCAGAGATCTCTTGGCTGTCTTCTATCCTGTTGATTAAAATGAAAGAAGTCACATGGTTGTCTTCAGTCCAGCTTTGTATGCATGTATGTTGTATCAGAAGCCCATAGACGAGGACCGTGAAAGACAAAACAAGTGTATGCAATGCTGATGGAACTGTCTTCCTCGGGAGCCTCTTTGCTGGTAACAACCTGGGCGCTCTCCGCAGACTTCTTCGTGGTTGGCTTCGAACTGCCTTTCACAGTCATTTTGATTTGCTTGCCGGTAGTTTTAGCCTTCTTGCTCTTTGGTTTGGGCTGCTTTGGCATGGTAGAGCAAGGATGGAGGAGGAGGTAGAAGAACCGAAGCGCGGGCCTACGTGGTCATAGCGGAAAAGGCAAGATACCAAAAAAATTATACAAAAGACTTATTTATCTACTACACTTTTTTCTAGTACTACAAAACCGAATGCGGAAAGGTAGTGCAATCACGCGCACAGAATCGAACCAGAATCGTGCAGCGGATTCAAGTTTCGACTCCAGAGATGGACGTATTGGCATCCAATTCACGATTTTGTCCATCAGAATCGGCCGCCACATCAGCATCGGAATCCACCTTAAAATCAACTCAGAATTGAGCACTGTGAGAACCCCTAATAAGACAAGTGTGATGCAACGATTAATCCTACACCTGCGCTTACCTGGTCCTATTCAGCTGGTTTGGATCAACCGTCACTAAAACCTGACACTCTAGCTTCGCTCTTTAGTCTTGCCATCCAGATCATCAGTCCTTGTTCCTCAATGCTACATACATTGTCACTTTTGTGCTCACATTTGCTGCAGGAAATCGTGCCATTTTACTTACTCATTGAACTTTTGGTCTTATATCTAAATGCATCAGAGCTTACCTTTCACTGGATGTTCTTTACGAGTGTAATTATCAGTTTTGTTAGGTCAAGGCCTCTAACAGGAGTATCATAGCTGGTCTGCACGTATTATTGATAAAGCTGATAAACTTTGCTCCACATATTTCAGAGACAACCGTCCCACCCAGTATAATTGAATGCTCAGAGTGTATATCATCACTTGGGGGGAGAGGCCATTGCTATACCTAGCATGGCAAGCACGATGCCTGGTTTTTTAATTAGTTTAATGTTTATTGTTTTTATTTACTCAAGACTTTTGTATTACTCAGAGGTCATATATGTCATCATCTGCTGACCCATTTAAGACACTTTTGATGATTGTGCAAGGCTCAGACTTATGTTAGTACACATGGGCTCTACCATCATTCTTCCTTCCTCCCCCGCCGCCGCCACCATTCTTTATCTCCTCATTCCTCCCCTCCACCATCCTTCCCCCATCCCTGCCAAGTCCCAGGAGCTCCATGCCTGCCTTGTCATGCTCCGTACCCAAGAAGATATTGATCTACTCCAGTATAAAGATGTATTGTCGTCAAAGGATTACACTCCCAATGTCTTGTCGATGGTCAGTAT